CCAAGCACCTCCTGGGTTGTAACTTACCCAAACGAGGTGATCGGCTTCGCCAAAGGCAACTTTATGAACTTCGGCACCGCCGTCGCCATCTACGCTGCGGTCCAGCGCGAGCTTGGCAGCAACGAGCTCGTCTTCCCCGGCGCCGAGGAGTTTTACACCAGGATCACAATGTTCTCCGACGCCCGCCTCCACGGACAGTTCTGCCGCTGGGCCGCGCTCGCCCCTGATGCCGGCAACCTCTCCTTTAACGTCGTCAACGGCGATGCGGCCTCTTGGCAAGACCTCTGGCCGCGCGTCGCCCGCTACTTCGACCTCCACGTCCCGGCAGACCAGTTTACGCGTCCGGCCCGGGCAGCGTCGGAGCGTAAGCTCGCCGCACGCACGCCGTTCTCCCTCTCCGCGGAGGCGATCGGCGTGGCGACGAGGAGTGTCAGTGGCGAGCAGCAGCAAGAGCAGTCGTACATACGGCAGAGGATCGACCTGGTGCAATGGAGCAGGAGCGGCGAGGTCCAGGAGGCGTGGAGGCGGCTCGCCGCGCGGGAAGGCCTCGACGGGGACGCGCTCGACAGGGCATCGTGGGCCTTTGCCGGGTTCGCGTGGGGACGGGACTACGATGTCGTGCTGAGCATGAGCAGGGCGCGTCAGCTGCGGTGGACGGGCTACGTGGACTCTTGGGACGGGTTTGAGACGGTGTTCCGGGGACTGGCGGATGCAAAGGTCATTCCGAAGCAGAAGTGGTGAAGTCGCAACGGCCGAAATAGCTGTCACGTCCATAGTGGTATTAGATGACCCGGTGACCTTTTGGACATGTACCGTAGCATTGCGAAGGAAGTCAACATGTCGATTGTCATTCCTCTTCCCCTTGCACTGCATTTCTCCAGAGCCACGTACGCGTCGTTTGAGTCCAGCAGACACACGCCTTCCTCCGCTTCTTCACGCTTACAGAGAGACAGAGAGGGTCGAGGGAGGATCCGGTCTCCATTGAATAATCCATCAAGCCCATCATGGTGCGTCGGAAGCTAGGCCGGCAGTTGTCAGCATCAGGCTACTTTGTCGGCTAAGCAATCAATTCGAAGGAGTCGAGCACGGCATTAAGGCTTAAGCTTCCGCGCTCGCTTGTTAGCGGGTTCCATCGCGAAGTCCGTTTTATCAAAACAAAAGAAGCATGCAGCAGTAGTGCAGAAAATAAAACCGGGCGTCACCGGATAAACTCCATGTCCCCAAATCCACCTTTTTCTTCTGGGTGTTGCATCGTCGACGTTGCGAGTCGAGGGAATAAGGGTACCTTAGCCAGGGGGCAGAAGCAAAAGCAGAAGCTCAATCGGAACAAGGGCCCGGAGCTGGGTCCGGCTGTAGGTAACGGTAGCACGGAGAGTGGGATGAGCAGAATCCCGTCAACTGACCGCACTCAATCCGAAACCGAAATCTCCTATTCCTAGCCATTGTGGCCCGAGTTCGAGCTCTGTGTCGTGCACCAGCTTTTGATCAATGCCACATTGTGCCTGGCGAAACACCAAGAAGCGCTACGATGTTCACACGCAAGGGCAGGGCAAGGGCGCGTCTAGCTCGCTTACAAGGTTACATTGATCGAACCGTTCAGCCGCTAGAGTTATGCGCGCGGGCTGTGTTGCGCTGTTTGACATGGCTTCCTCTGCCCTACAGACCAGGTGTACGAGTCGGTCACCTTGTTTGCCCAGGTTCGCGCTGTCCGATTCATGGCCTTTTCGATCAGCCTAGACCCTTTTCTGCACCCTGGATATGGCAGGATATGGGATGGTAAAACGTCTCCGGGGATAAAATCGCAATATTTGCCGCATGCTATGATAGCTCGCTGATTCTATGATAGCAGAATGGACGAGTGATAGGCGGCCAGGCCAGGCACGTTGGTCTGAAGTTCGGGACACATTGCCCTTCAGGCAACGATATTCCCACTTCGGGCCGGAGTCCCCAGTGTACCTCGTCCGTCCCGTGGATTGCCCTTGGTTATCCCGTCGAATAGGATATGGGCAGGCGGACGGTAAAATCGCTCACTGGAGCTGTCCATCCGCTGTGCTGTGCTGGCCGAGTCGACAACAACAACACGCAATATGGTCGTGCCAGCCTGTGGCCCGCGTGGCTATATGCACCTCACCCATGACCTTATGCCATCGAAACAGTCTGATGCTGCTGACAGGGAGGCTGACGGGCGTGACAGGCCTAGCTTCGAGTCTCTCGGCTTTGCCAGACAACGGTGCCAGATAGAAGGAAGCTGAATGAGAAACAATCTATCATAAGAAAAAGCTGAGAGGACGAGCTGAAGGTTCAAGGGACGGGCGTAAACTCTCGCCGAATATCGATCGAGACGGAAATATCTATTTCGGCGCAAGGGCGCGATGGGAATGGAGTCAACTCCACCCGCGATGAGCTTATACGAGGAAAATGTGAGAATGTGATTTGACGCGCCGTTCGCATGTGCTTGTGCATTTGTTTTGGTGTCGGTGCAGCTGTCTGTCAGTAGAAATGATAGACGCTGATCGCCGCACCAGCTCGTATCGAAAGCCGAGGCAACGGCTTCGAAAGATGCGTCCAGAAGGGCGGCCATCCAATCGGCGTCAAACGGTTGAAATGACAGTTCCTCATTTTTTCGCGCGCTCATCTCAAATTTCATTACATGAGAGACGCCAACCGAGTCCTTGGGAAGCGCCCTTTCATAACGTCAAAGTCGCACTAAGCGGGATGCGAAACAGCGCGACCGCGACAAACCTCACCATTGATTGATGAAGCATCAAAGAAGTCCAGCCAAGCGCGCCGCTTGGGAATCAGAAACAGGCGCACAGAAATGAAAACCACACAAGAAAAAAAAGGGAGGAGGAAACTTGGGGGCCGTTTCTGCCCAAGGGCTCCAGACGGCAGCTTAAAAGTCCAACTCAAAATATTCGCAGACGCAGCCCTGAGGGGCTGGCCGCTAAGGACGGAATCGCCATAGCACTCACATTGGACCCTGAAGCCAAATAGAAAGATGCAACCGTTGATCCATTGATATTGGTGAAAATAAAGAAAGGCGGCGGATGGAGGTGAAATTCGTACGAGAATAGAGTAGGCTCGTGTTTCTGAAACGCAGTCAATTTGTTCTAGAATCCTATTAATAGCGGCCGCATCCTTGAAGAGCCCTCTAAGCTTTGAGGCACCCTTTGAGCTTTGAGCGCGGCCCCGGAGAGTCCTTGTGAGGTCCCCTGGACAGCCCTGTTTGATGGGAAATGGGAAATGGGGAAGAGGAAGAATCCAATGCGAAATGGACAAACTTCAAAGCAAAGAAGGATCCCTGGGTTTCTCCGTGGGAGTTGAGTCCCGTCACTTCGGCAGCCAGCAGGCAAAAGCCCAGAGCTGCCGCAGCCTGATCCTTTCCCGTGCTCCTCCCCCTCGACTCTTTGGCCAGTAGCAAGTCAGGCAAACGGGCAGAGACCATGGACAAGCCTGGTGCAGAATACGGCGGAGACAGCGAACAGGTCCCCGAATTAAGGTGTTCTTAGTCATTATGCGACTCTGCGCTGCGCAGGTGCCATGCAGTCGAGTCTGGGCAACGCTGCATCATGACACGCTGGGCCATGGCCCAGGCTGGGCTTCTAGAACCGGAATTGTATGACAGGGCTTCCAGGCCTCTGGCCATCCGCCATCGTGTGTAGCATCAGATGCTGCTGCGCGTGCGTCCGCAGCAGGCAGCCCAGCAAAAGAACCGCAAAGGCCGCAAAGGCCCAGAGGGTTCCAGCAAGGATACATCTGGTTGCTTCTGGAGCACTGGTCAGTCTCTGGTACACTGGCTCGCCCCCTCCAGCCCTTCACGGTCCTTTGTCCCTTGCCCATTTTACTCCACACGGACAAGCAGCCAGCAGAAGGAAAGAGAATTGACCCAGCGGAAAGCCAGAGCCCCGGCCGGCTGCCAGAGTGCTGCTGCAAGAAAAACAGACAGAGAGAGCCACAGTTTGGGCCGAACCCACAGGCCAGGGACCGCTTGACTGGAGATACCCACAGTCCACGGTCCAGCCAGACGCCCGTCCAGGGCGAGCCAGACGCCGTGGGCCCCTCTCCAAATCTCTCTCTCCCAGCCATGGCGAGTTCCCCCCCGGAGCCGTGGGAGCATTGGCGACGAGGAGAGGATGCGCAAGGCCCAGGGCAAGGCATGTAGGTACGGCGGTAGGGCCAGGTAAGGGTAGAACTGGGGGACTATACTGCGTAGAGAAAGTAGGTACATCTGCTGCTGCTGCTGGGTCCATACATACCGCATGGGATGGAGTACCTATGGTGCTATGTATGGATGTGGTATATGGAGGGTACGGATACCGTATGTAAATGAATGAAGGTGGATGGATGCCATCTGGTGTAACTCGCCCGGTCTGGTTCGTTGTCCCGTGGATGCCGTGCCGTAAGATGATAAAGACCCTTTGAAATCCCCTCCAGCCTCCTTTCTCCCCCCGTTAGACTTTTTGTGCATCTTCCTCGTCTTGGACAAAAGTTGCTGCATTTCTCACTTGTGTCTTCTTCCTTTTTTCCTTTCCTTCTCGTACCTTCCCACCCCAAAAGTAACAGGTTCCCTCCAATTTGCTTCGAGGCCACTTCCGTCACCGTCCGCCATCTTCAGACGATTCCCACAGCTACCCGACATCATCGGACTTCCAGACAAAGGCATCCAACCGACACATCATTTAGTACCTGCAAGAAGTCTCTAGAAGATTACAAACCGTCGACACACATCAACATACAACAGCAGCATCAACACCAACAGCATAGCAACCCCCACTGCTACTCCACCGGAACAACACTCGCATAGTCTGGAGTCACCATCATCCAGGCACCCAAACAAATAACAGCCTCGACGACAAACAGAAACCGCAACCAGACTTCGAAGTCCCCATCTCCGTCATCGTCTTCCTCCGCAACATCGACGACATCCCATCGTCGATAGCTTCACTTTCTCTCCCAACACCCGCAACACCGCCACCACGGCTTCTCCAGCGATCGCCACCATGGGTTCCCCGAGTGGAGCCCTCCGCCCCCGAGCATCGTCAAACTTCATGGGCATCTCAGCAACAGGATTCCCGCCATCAATGACGCCTCAGGAAAAGCACCTCTTCTCCGACCGCGTCAACTCGGCGACAACCCGCCTCTCGAGCACAATGGCCGCCAGCGAAACCGACACCGGCTACATGTTCGTCGTCTACTTCCACAAGAACACCGCCGCCGACGCCCTCTCCCTGCTACAGGCCGCTGACATCCGAGTCAGGGGCCACCCGATCCAGTTTTCCTGGCACTGAACTCTGCTGGCTTTCTGCTGCTGATCCTCACTCAGTGCCTGATCGATGGGATGGATGCGCGCGTCCAGTCACTGATGTGCGTTTCTACCATCATGCAAAGTGGTCTGGTCTGGTCTGGCCTGGCCCGGTCCGTTCTGCCAGCAGCCCCAGCTCTGCGTCTGGCTGGAACAGACCGAGGGTTGATCCTTTCTTCTTCCATCTTCCTCTACAGCTGCTTCTTTTCTTTTCTTTGCTTTTTCTTTACCGATACCCAAACTACTGTTAGCACCACAATTCATCACTACGCCATTTATCATCATCCATCATCAATCATCCATCCACCCGGCATCACCCAGAACCACAACGACTGGCACACAGTCACCTTTGCATACACTCACATCCACATCCGAAGAAGAGGCGAGGACGGGAGGATTAGGAGGGAGACAAGAGTCATTGGTCCATGTTCCCCCATCATTCCCATCTACAACCATGATCCATCCAATTCCCATGCCCTCTCCCTCCTTAGGCTTCTCCAAGGCTCTAGGCTCGTCCTCCAATTCCCGCCCGACCGCCCCGGGAGCGAATCCTTCAGCGATCCATCGTCCCTCCCACCCCCTACCCCCCCNCCCCCCCCTCGGCGATCTGCAAGTCTAGGCCACCCTAGGCCACCCCCGTCCTCCAGGGCAAATCGCAAATCATTCATCGGGGCCCCCTCCACCCTATCTCCATCATCTCACCTTATCTCATCAAGAATCACGCAAAGGAAATTCAAAAAAAGTACTTGTATATCTCTATCACTTTTTTATTTCATACCGTCTTTGGACACCCCTCCCCGTTTACCCCCACAAGGGCACACTTCGCTTCGCGTTCGCGACCGCACTCGATAATGTTGCAGATGGAACCGCATCTTATTGCAGTTCTTCCTGCACATCCGACTGCCCACTCTTTCTGCTTCCCCGGGTGGACCGGCCGCCCTCGGCCGGCAGTAGCCCATGTGTCGAAAGGGGTGTGTGTCTGTTGTGACTGAGTGTGTGTGTCTTGTCTGCGTGTGTGTGTGTGTGGGTTCAATCTGGCCTGTCCACTGTGTTTCCTTCCCATGGCGAACCGGAACGCCGTTTGTCACGCAGCCTGTTCTGTGCATTACGCCCAGTGTAGTGTGTAGGCAGCGGCAAGGCAGACTCTGTCACAGCAGCAGAGACGGTCAAGAGGAGCCAAAGGAAATTTCTGAGATGAGGTGAGGTGAGGTGACGCGGAGCAGGATGGACGTTACGCGGCCGGGCTTTCGTCACCACCAGGACCAGGTTATCAGGTTTCTCCCTCAGGTCTGGCCGTCCATCCACCGCAGCCTACCGTCCGCCTGCTGCAACCTCTTGCAAGGGGTTCCAGTGCGAGTGGAATTGTGGATTGTGGATTGCGGGTTTGCGGATTGCAGCATGGCACGAACGGGTGTGCACATTTTTTTTTACCTCTGGGTTATTTCGTTCTCACGTCTCCCTCGCGCTGGATCAAGGTCACATTCGTTCGGCAATCGGACGGCCAGTGTGGGACGCCGCCGTTCATCATTCAAATTGCACCACCGCCGCCGCCGCACTTCGGGAGCGAACCACAACGGGGGACCACCTTAGATGAGACGCGCCAACGCAATCACCACCGATGCGAAATTCAACCCAACTGGCAGCCGAAACCTGGTCTGATGGGGGGGCCCTTTTTCGAGACGGGAACGGGAATGCGGATGGATACGCGGGAATTGGATTGGACACAACACGGAAGAGTGGAACGGTAATTGGGAAGAATTCGACCCTCGTTGCAATCGGGAAATCCAAAAGGTTCGTGCACATCGCAATCATTTCCCCATCACCCTGATTTTACTTTTTTTCCCTTTCAGTCTGGCCTTGTCCAGACGGTTCCAACGGGTTCTGGCCAGTGTCAGTGTCAACACCCTCTCTCTCTCGGTCCTCGCAAGGATCTTTTCTCACTGGCAAAAACGTCCAAGCGGAGTTGCCTGGAGCGAAGGCGAATAGCCACACGCTACCAATGACACTTTGTCCTTGCATACAAACATCGGCTGACAGGAGTTCCAGACCAAGTTCGATTTTGATTACCGGCCCGACGTGGGGGAGCATGAGGAGGGGACCGGGGTTTGGTCCAAGGCAACTTTGTGTGGCAAGAAGACACCAGAAAAAAAAGGAACAACCCCAATCATTCCCCGCGCGAGTGAAAGGGGACCCTGAGCCAAGATGGATGGGCCAAGAGCAGAGCAAAGCAACACCGCATCGCTATTTTCGCGCGTCATCCCCTATTGCTCGCCCACTGCTACAAAGCCTCCGACAAACTAGAGTTTCCGGAAGATTGTCTTCTGGAGTAAACACTCTCTTGGCCCTCCCACCAAACATACCAACCCCGCTTCACCTGGGCCCCCTTTCATCGACCATCGCCCATTCACGCCTCCATCTCGAAATTGCATCGGGCATCGGAGCAAGCACGCAGTCGCGTTCACCCTCCCACCGCAGGGTCCTCGAGCGGCGGGCGGACTACACATTTCGCGGACTGTGTTACGCGGCAGCCTTACATGTGTGCATCTTGGGCGGGATGGAAGGGAGCAAAAAGGACTTGTTGCTGTGTCACACGAAAGAAAGGCAGCAGGAAGTGACCAGTCACACAAAGGCTGTTGGTCACTTTTTGCTTGGCTTTTGTCATCAGATCATGTACGCGGGTTCAGCATTGCCAGGCGAGAATGCAAACCAAACCAAACAAATCATAAATCACAAAAACACGCAGAAGAAACTTTCACACACAAAGAATAAGGTCATCAGACCGCCGCTTTCTCATCCGTTGTTTCCGTGCGCCCCTCTCTCTGTAAACCTTTGAACAGAACAATGTGAAGCCATCACCACCATCAGAAAAGACCCATGAACCATGACAAACAGAACCGTTAATACCCAAAAGCCCACTCCATTGTCCTATCCCATTTAATCTCCGTTTCGCCCAACTGGAATCCAGATGGGCCGATTCCCACCCCCGAACGGTTGCTAAAACTGAAACAGGGGAAATTTTTACATTGCGCGGTCCCGAGGATCCGGGTTTGTCCTTTCTTTTGTACGCAGCGGGCGGGTGAAGTACATACATCGTACAGAGCGAGCGTAAGGGACGACGGATAACCGTTAAGCGGCACCCCAATCATCAATGAATCCCTCGCGCGAGAACAGGCAGCCAGCGAACGGACGACGGCACGGACCCCTCGTGCTGGGTTGATTGCGTGTAATTCCCATCTACATGGATCCATGGACGGCAGCAGGCGAGAGTGACCCCCTCCCCTCTCCCCAGGGCCCTCCAGTTAACCCGGCGTTCCGCGTTCCGGATATCCCGCGGCAAATCCAATCCCCGTGTCCCGTGCTTTCCAGGCCATAAGCGAAGTCCCGGCGTCGGCGACATTGGTTCTGCCGTTCGTTCCTGAGTTGGTGAGGTTAATCGGCGCGGGGGCCGAGTATCTCGGACTAGCCCCATTATCGCTCCGAGAATCAGACGGCGATGCATGAAGATGTAAGCCGAGAAGACGCCCATCTGTGGGCAAGCGACAAGTCTTAAGCCATCATCTGAGTGCTCCAAACGGCCGGGGATGGACCACGGGTGGGAACAGGTGGGAGAGGACGGCGGCCTTCAAGTCCATGACGCCACAACATGCCCGCTACGGCCGACAACGCCCCCAACCGTTCATGGCCTCGCCAGCTGAAAACTGCTCCAAGGAGAGGGGCTCGCAAGCTGACACTCTCACTGCTCGAAACGCGAACTCACTGTGCTGAGGTGCTCTGTCAGAATGCCATCGGCTTACAACCCCCCACCCCCGAATCCGGCCTAGCCTCACGTCACGTCTGCCCGTTTTCTTTCACCTGCCTTGTCGGTTCCGCGGATATGCTTATGATGCGCTCCCTCGGCATTTGGCGCAGACGCGAGGCTAGTGAGGCGGGCTTGTTTTTGGGTAGCGGCTCGGGAGCCGGGTGACTCAGTGGTAGCGCGTGCCCAGCGATGCAGCAGGCTTACAGGTTGCTTTCCGAAAGGGGTTTAGACGGGGTCAGGCTTGACGTCTGGGAGGTGGCCGATGCAGACGGCTTACACTGGTGATGGCTTCATCCGTCGAGACAATAGGGGGCTTGCGTCTTGGTGATGGACTGGTTAGGCTGCCGCCTTGCGACAACAGCAAAGCTTGTGGAATTGGAGGGCAGATGGGCGGATGAATAACATTGCCGGCGGAGGAATTCGATCGCCTTTGCGTGAAGATTCAATGATGATGTGTTTTTAGGATTGAACATGTGAGGCGACGGTGTTGAATGTCTCTCGTAGACGAAGTCTTCCTTGTATAAATGGCTGAGTGCCGTTCTGCTTCAACGCTGAGTGCCAGACATCTCTGCGCCTTCAATCTGGTCATTGATCTAGAACACCAAGTCCTCGTGGGCAGTTGACACAAAACTTTCGCCAATCTTCCAACCAAGCAGAGCTCTTAGTATCCGAATTCTTCACGTACCGAACTCGTCTGAGACTTCACATCGTCTGAAGATACCAGCCCACGGACTTCGGTGTGTTGCGGTAAGCACCGGACGACATTGACATCACTTCAAGTTGGAACTCGACACATACATCATCAACCTCTAGGACTCACACACTTCGGCATCTTATTTTGAGCAGCAAGACTCTTCATCGCCAGTCTTGGAACACTCAACTGCTTCAAACACATTGAAAGCTGGGTTTGAGGATACGCGACTTGCATCGTCAGCCGCACGCCCCTTTCTTCGTTTCCAGTAACGTCCACGACGCATCAAAAATGAAAGCCCTTTTTGTTCATGAGAAGGATCTTCATGATCCAACTCCGTCGATATCATCACTTGAAGGGAAGGTGATATTTGTTACCGGAGGTAAGGAACAGCAGCTAACAGCCACCCCCATACACACCCTCTCTGGTCCCTCATACTTCTTTCTACGCTCAACATCTGCTTTCATCGACTTGGCATATGGTACTGTTCTACTACTACCCCATCACCTTCATTCCTGTAAATGAAATTGAAATTTCAACGTACATCCTTCCAAGTTCTACGTCGTTTCGGCCAACTTATATATTATCGAGTCTACGACATCACTTGGCCCGCTAGGGGATGCCAGCCGAATGCTCCATGCCGTAAGGGTTCGGCCAACTCGACCTTGATCAACTATCAAGGATAGCTTCACGATTATCTATTCTCATATTATCACGGCGCAGCAGAGTTCTTGCCTTCACATCACTTGGAACATTCTTACTGGACGACGGGTTCGAGAAATCCGCTCTACACTTCTTTAATATACCACCTTACCAGCTTTCACCTGCCTTCCTTCATTCCTATTTATTTTCTCAATCATTCAACTACCACAATTCCATCTCGGTTCTTTTGATCTACATGACTCTATCTTCATCTTATCCTTCCTTGAGACTAACATACAATATAGGAACAGCGGGCCTTGGCAAATCCACAATCACCGCCCTCCTCCGCCATAACCCCGCCCATATCTACTTCTCTGGCCGGTCCCAATCCTCCGCAGATGCACTGATCTCCTCTCTTCCCGCCTCTATGCCCTCTCCGCCGCCCCTGACCTTTGTCAAGATGGACCTCTCCTCTCTCTCCACGATCCCTGCCGCAATTGCTAAACACTTCAACCACACCCGCCTTGACATACTCATCAACAATGCCGGCATCATGGCCACCGGGCCTTCCCTCTCTGCCGATGGCTTCGAGATACAGTTCGCTACAAACCACCTGGGCCATGCCATGCTCGTCCGCACCCTCATGCCGGTCCTCGAGCGTACAGCAGCCTCCGGTGCCGATGTCCGCATCATTAACCTCACTTCCGTGGGGTACCAGGGCCATCCCCGCGACGGCATCTCCTTCGCCGCGCTTCGTACTACGCAGGCTGGACCGCCTATGCTGGGAGAGTGGATCCGATACGGGTAAATATCACTATGCTTCCATCATTCTTCAAAGAGACGGTCCCCATACTGAGACTCACATTACAGCCAAAGCAAACTCGCAAACATCCTGTTCACCCGCGAACTTGCCCGCCGCCACCCCTCCATAACCTGCGTCGCGGTACATCCGGGCGTCGTTGACACTGGCCTCGTAACGAACCAGAATCTTAAGAATCGCATCCTTGTCTATCTGCCTAACAAGCTCATGGGCGCTACAGTGCTCACCCCGCAACAGGGCTCCTGGAACCAGGTCTGGGCCGCGGCCGCGGCGCGGAAGGCGGACCTCGTCAATGGCGGATTCTACATGCCCGTCGGACACCTGGCTAACGACAAACTTGATTCCTGCGCGACAAACGAGAAGTTGGCGGGGGAGCTGTGGCGGTGGACTGAAGATGTGTTGGCTGGGTTTGACTGAAGCTCGAGCGATGGGAAAGTTTCATATCAAACCTCACCTGTAGATGCTAATGGTACGACCCAGGAGAAGAAATTTGAGTTTAGCCTTCTCAATTCCCAAAGTAATGTAGAAATGCCATCCATCAATGCCGCAGTGCTCGTATGTACACAGACAAGTACAATGTCAGCCAAGCAAACTCCCTTATTTGCCCCAGAAATTAGAATCAGAGAGGAAGGTATCAATGCCTTTGAAATACTGAGATCTTAGTCCCTAGTCACAGTAACCAGGAACGGAGATGAATTGCTCGCAACCACTCATGGCTTCCCCAGCTTCGACAATGACTCTCAGAAAGAATACTGATCCATTCGAGTGACTTCGCCGATAGTAAGCACAAGCATGGGAGACATTCATGACGTAGCCTCCAGAATACACCGAAAAGTTATACACGCGTGAATGCACGCCAAATGCCACTGGCGACGTCAGCGTAAGCCGATCACACCCACCATCATTGTGGTCGACCAGTGAGTCACAACGCAGACTGTGTCCGCGCCTGCCATATTGGTAAAATCGCTCACAATACTTTGAATACACAACGAGCACGGTGGCGGAGTGGTTAACGCAGTGGACTTGAAATCCACAGATCCCTGGATCAAAACCAGGCTGTGCTCATCTATTTCCTTTTTTTGGCGTCCATACTTGGCCCAAAATCCCTTTGAAAACATAAATCCGACCCTCTACCGCCGAGGAGGCATTGAACTTGCCGGTGGGATGCTGCGGAAAAACATCGTGAAGTCTCAACAGAATCTAGTCCAGCTGGGATGATGTAATCAGTTTGAATCTATTAAGGTGGCCATAAAGATTTTCATTACGGCCTCTGCTTTATAATCAGTCGATGTTGATTATATTGAAGTGAATGAAATGTCTAGGTAACAAGCTTTGGAAACACCGGCGAAGACTTTCGAATGGGCCTAGTCTCGGAAACCAAGTCCCGATACAAGGATTGGTCGATGGAATATTCGCCGATTTCTGAAAGAGAGGAACGTTGATATCCGTTGGCCATGTAACCATGGATCCGCAAATACGAACGCATGCTATCGCTAGATGCACGAGCTTGGTCCAAGATAGCCTGCAAGATAGCATGGAAACAAGACGTGGAAAGCCATCAACGCACATGCGTCTACATAAAACAAGTAGTAAATCTTCTCGTCATGGCAGCCACAGACTCTTCACACACTCAAGAAACGCTCGCGTAAAAGCCTCCAAGATGCAAATCACCGTCCTTCTCCCCTTTCTCGCCCTCGCCCAGAGCGTAATGGCCAGCCCTATCGCAGAGCATGCCCCAGCTCTCGTATGTCCATCTCAAACACATCCACCAATCTTTCCATTTACTTCCTGTTATGTTCATTAACATGACGGAAACTTGTCTGTCCAAAGAACCTGACTTATGACTGACCCATGGATGCGCTTATACAGAATCCCCGCGCTGGCTGCCCTGCCAAAGTCAACAGCTTCTGTAAACAGTTCAGGGAGGTCCTTGGGCAGTGTCGCAACGGACAGTGGAATTGTGTCCACGGAAACCCGCTCACTCTGGACGGCAACTACCCGATCTACACGCCTGCGGGTGAATCATGCTCGAAGGAGGGAGATACCTGCTTGTAGGCAGTGTCAGAGCGACAGCTTGGTGTCCCTGGACCGACGCATATATATTGATTGACACTAAGCTCTAGCTTAAGAATGAGAGCAAAGCATTGTTTTCGCATGAAAGATCAGTTGGGAAATCGAGAAACGGCACCACGTGACGGAGACGGGCTCCAGGTGCGCAGTGCCGCTCCCAGCATGCATGTCAGGATACTTACCAATAGATAGTTGGCTGTTCAACCTCAAACCGAGTTTCAAATTTTCAATTCAAAACGGGAAGAATCAGATCGTATTCTCAGCCCCTTGCGGGCCGTGATGAAGGTATGGAACCGATTGCCAGAAAGGGGGCGCTGTCTGACGAGTTTCCGGACGGGATCTCGGTCCCCTCCAATCCGAACGAGTCATTTTCGCCATCTTCATTCTCACAAAGGAACACCTGGCCTTCAGCTGTAATAGAAGATTTACTACCAGATCCATGCTCCCGATCCATTCTCTGTAATACCTCGAGCTGTGTAGGAGAGACAGTCGGCATGTGTTTTCTCCATCGAGCAACCTCTATGTCGCGTAAATTTCTTGTAGCTCTATGAAGTGAGCGGCAGACAGCTGTTTCGGTGAATCCCTGTTCCCCAAGTGCCTCATAGAAAGACTCCGCCACCAAAACACTGAATCCATCTGGAATTTTCCAGAGCGTCCCGATAGCGTGTCGGAAGCCTGCAAGTTGGAACGCGCTGGCTAAATGAACACTCTCGTCAGCAAGATCATGCAAGCGACTTGCACCAGTGGAACAAGCGGATAGATACGCCAAGAATGGAGAGTCATCCTGGAGCTTCTGATTGCGCATCTGCTCTACTGTAAGTTGATGCTCAGTTCAGTCATTCGGAAGCAAAGTGCTTCGTGATGGCACCGATGAATCTAACTTTCCATGTCCGGCAAAGTGAAATATTTTGCATCCTCGTAAGTTCGAAATAACTTCGTCTCGTTAGGCTTGTGGTAGTACTGGGGTGAGGCTCAGTCTCTCGCACCGGCCCTCAAGCACTGATATCTCCCGGTTTGCGAAGGGTAGATCGGCGGTTCCTGGCAGTCCTGGCGTCTGCGGCATCGCCAGCAGGAGAGCCTCTCTCTTCGCCGAGGTTTCTCTTTTCTGTCCCAGGCGCCCATGTATGAGCGATTTGATGGACGAGCTGTAGGAGGGCATGACTCTATCAACCACAGTCTCGGAGGACCTGGTAATATGTCGCCCTGCCGCATGCATAGGCAATTGAATAAGACTGCCAGTGAGAATCCACCAAATCCGTGGCTCGTTGTCGTCAGATATCGGCGTCGAGAAGCCAGGCGCTTCGAGAATCGGACAGGCCGCAGCTTCCCATAGCCACTCCAACATTGATGCCGGAGCCAAGGGCCCTGTCCTTTTCAGATAAATAGCGTTCAAATCAATTTGTGCTGTAGATAGCTTTGGTAGGGCCACCTGCTGAATTCCACTTGCTATGAAAGCATCGCATGAAATTAAATGTGTGTTGATGACCAGTATTGGGCCAAGGTCTGCAGCTGCCATCAACTCGCTGGCGGGAGGAGGAAGCAGGAAGCGCTCAAATCCCAGCTTGGCCCGGATCTTCTGAAGTAGTTCTTGAAACCTCTGATTCGCATCCGAGATCCGAGTCGAACTTACTTTCATATCTCAGCGCGAGCTGGTTTCACCAAACCTTTGCTGCTGATTTGCCGAGAGAGGCAAAACCAGCTCATCACGAACGGTCAAGAATTCGCTCGCCAGCTCTTTGTGCTGCTCTTCCAGAGCAGACAAGTCGGTATGGGTTTCGAGAAGATGACCGGCGATGACTTCACGTCCGAGTCCCAAAATCCCCAAGCAGTGACTGGCATCCTCTCCTGCTAATAGTGCCCAGACTACAGCCGAAGAAGCTAATCCGGAGAATTCTGACAGTATGGCCTGCTGGTCTGCGTGTAAACCAAAAGGTATCAGTCCCGCAGCCAACCGGAAAGATTGGGCCATATGTACGCTGTGGACCAATCAGGCTGGCCTCATGTTGTAGGCAGAAGTCGAGGATGATTGACCAGGTTTGATGAGTCATGGTTGTGTAAGTTGTAGACACCGAAAAAGTCTCCGTTTGTGACTGGGTGGAAACCACTTATCAATCCACATTATGCGGTCTTCAGCCTCTGAGCCAAGAGTCGAACAACGCATATTGTCTGGTTCTCGTGACTTCTTGCATGCCGCGCATGAATCAAAGCCCCGCCAACAACAAATGACTTCCATCCCCGCCTGAGATCAACTTTGAACACGTACAATCGGCTGCGCGACGGGGCATCCCAAGAAAGACTCAAGAGTCAGCGAAAACGCCGCACTGATCCCTCAAACTTGAAAGAATCTCCAAGACTCAACTTAATATTAGAGTATCCAGGTTAAGAAGACGATGCCAATCACTAAATGGGCCCTTCTGTGCGGCATTGACTATTACTTTGACGGGAATGCTCGCAGTGTAGACGGACAAGCACAGACAATTCCGAACCTTGCAGGTTGCGTCAACGATGTTCAAAAGATCTACGAATTTCTCATCAATCTCGGAGTTCAACCTTCAAACATTGGGAAACTCACCGCATCAGTTTCGGAAAAGGGCCTCCTAGAAGATGAGTCGTCGCTGCCAACCTGGCTTAACGTCAAGCGAGAGCTGAACTACATCTTCCAGAGGGCGACGCCCGGGGATATCGTCTATTTCCACTACTCCGGACATGGAACGCGACGGGATCAGCAAAACGATGACTATCTTCACGCGGGGTATGACGAGGACGATGACCCCTTAGAAGGAATGGCACTGGTCATGACGGATGTCTTGAAAGGGGGGCCCTATTTGACGGGACACCACCTCGGAGTTTGGATGCGCAATATGGTGAGGGAAAAGGGGCTCCGGGTGACTGTCGTGTTGGACAGCTGCTACTCCGGCCTCTCTTTCCGCGACGGATCCGACGACGGGATCCGACTTCGCACGTTGAAAATATCGAATCGAACCCATCAGGCGTGGTTGAAAAGCGATTATGAAGCTGATGCCGAAATACAAGCGCTGGATTCCGACCTCATCGGGGCATCGGGTATGAGGGATGCCGTAGCAATCCAAAGACCATGGCTGTCAAACCCAGAAGGCTGTACAGTTCTCACCGCTTGCGGTCCATCGCAGACTGCGGGCGAGAGACTTTTCGATACCCTTCATCACGGCGTCCTGACATATTGGGTTGTGGAACGTCTGCAGGACTTCATCGGGGCTTATCTTCCTTCGCATCAATATGTCGTGGATCATGCAACATACAAGATCCAAGATATGCGCCGGGGCGATAGGAGCCAAACACCCATGATATTCGGAGATGGACAGCACGAATTCCTCGGCACCAATACTTACTTCGAAAGACCGGCCTCGTACGTCATATCGAGAACAGAAGACGCGGTTGTTCTTGGTGTGGGAGCCGCACAAGGCGTTGAAAAAGGGGCATTGTACGATCTGACACCAAGCAATCAGATCGACATGTCAACCAAGGCCGGAAGCTTCGTGCGAGCGCAAGTACTTACAGTCGACAGATTCACATCGACAGCACAACTCCTTGATGGTAACAGGGACGTAGCCTCCGGCTGGCTGGCATTTCTTCATCAGTGGGCTTTGGAGCGGACGCTATACGTTGCACTTTCTCCCAAAGACTTGCCTATCCGGGCTGTTTTTGGGGAACACCTGCGGAAAACGCCTGGTCTGGATCTCGCCGATGATTCTGACTCTGAAGCCTTTTTCACTGTCAGCATCTCAAGGGACAAAACCTTTCAAATCTTCCAGGAACATAAGAAGTTGCCCAGACTTCCTCGAATAACAGTGGGAGACCGATTTGCCGCCAGGAAACTGGCGTGTACCATCAGCCACGTCGCCCGCTACCTATCTCTGAGAGATCTCGGGTTACGTTCCTTCCAAAACGACAGGTGTCTACCCAAGAATGAGCTCAGTCTAGAAGTGACCCCGTCATCTGTGGAAGAGGATGACGAAGTGACAGCATACATAACATACACCGGAACATCTAAAGAAGGCGCGTGGACGTCGCTCTTCTGCTTCACGCCATCTTGGGCGATTATCAAAATTGAACCTCTTCCCACGTCAGGCCAGGCCGCGTACTGGACATCCCAGGCCCAGCCATTGGACCCGATTCCCTTGTACATGACAATCCCACCGAAAAGCGACCCTGAAGACCCCACCTGCATCGAGGATGTCTTTGTTCTCTTCGTATCAAATGGCGACGGCCCTGCGGTGGCTTGGGACGATATATGCCTTCCAGGTCTTCCCATCGACAGCAAATATGTGGAGAGGTTGCATGATATTCAGCGGCTCGACCCAAATGCCACCCGAGACATAGCCCGACCAAAGCAGAAACCGAAAAGGAGAAGCTGGATGGTTTTAGAAAAGACGGTTCGGACGAGACCAAAGGCAATGAAATAGTTGAGTAGAGCCAAGACGACGAACACCCACCAACAACCTCAAGGCTTATTGTCAAGGGTTTCATGGGAGTACATTAGTTGAGGCATGGTAAGTGACTCAGTGGAATATAGAGTGTGCTAGAGATGGTCAGAAAAGCCCGACCCGGAGGTGGTATGTCTATCTACGTCTGCACACGCCTCAACTTAGTGGCTGATGTGTTTTATGTTTACAGGGTAACTCGTTTAACATCCCTAAATACTTGCAATGGATGTTTTCTCTGCTCACGAGAACCTTTGGCAGCTATCTTCGCGTAGCTCACGCGGCAAGGCCAGCGACCAAGGTGGTAGATTCAGCAAGGCTATATGATCAAGACACAAGAACCTCGCCGGCCATATTTGAGGCCACCGCGATGAGTTATTCAGCGCTTCAGGATCAATCAAAACAATACCTTGGAACACATCACACTTTGCATATTGATATTATTGGTTTTTACATGTTGATACTCTGAAACTGGACGTGGGATGCAAGTTCGGTGTCTTGATGCGTATCAGGTAGTTGACTGTCACGACGATCAATTTCGGCAATCGCACATCCACATCGCTGATCGGTGGCTCAAAAAGCCCAATATTACTCAAAAGGGCGGTAGAAACGACACCTCAACTGAGTGCGGCGTGGTAAATCAAACCTCTTTTCAGTCGTGGCATGTGTCACCGTGGCTCGACACCTCGAGAGATGCCGTGGCGTGCCCTTGCGGTTATCAATCACCCGGACCGACGTCCCATCAAGCGCTGGTCTGAAGTCGGAAAGCCGCCGACTGATATTGGGCCGGCAACGGACATATATCCATTTCCTACCGTCTCATCTCAACTCTTTCAAGCGTCGCACCGGACCTCGAGGCCGGGTACGAAATGGCACTCGACCACCCCAAGGTCTCACCGGCACGCTCAATTTCAATGCCACCTCGCACCATCGCGTCGCCGACGCGCCGCCACAATCAGCAGGTCCCCTCCTCTGCGTCAGCCGCCAAGAGAGAGAGAGAGAGATCAGTGATGGCGGAAAGTCCCATTGCCGCGTCTAATTTCCCATGCGACTTTTTGACATTCGCCTCGCAGACGCCTGCCCGGGCTATCCCAAAGAGAGACCTTATCGCCCGGCCTTCCGCAGGTCGCATGTCTGCCGACGTCACGTCAAGAGCACACCACCAGCGTGCGCGCCCCTCTCGAGTGGCAATCTCTCCCAGTCGCCAGGGTCGGCCTGTGGCGGACGTTAACGTACCCCGCCAAACGCCATCGCCGCACACCCGGTCCGCGCCTTCAGAACCGCGTCCAACTGGACGTCCCGGGAAATTTGTAAACAAAACAAGGCGGGCCGGCATTGAACGTCG